ACCACAGGTACAAACTTGCAAGTAAATACTCTTGGTAAATGTATGAAACCATCCCTCCTCCTCCACTCCGGCTATTGGTTGAAATGCAGGGTAGATCGGGTCCTATGGCCTTGGGTGGCAACCAGTTTACCGCAGATAGAAACGGCTGCCTAAGGCGGGAAAGTCTGACTTGTCAGTCATAAATGGAAGAGACGTCATCGACAAGCGTTTATCGCGTACGACACTTAACTCACTGATGTAGAAGTAGTAAATAAGAAACGTTTCAAATAGCTCTGTGTATGGATCAATTAGAACAAATTTAGTATAGGAGATAAGGAAATTGAACATAGAATATGCTTTACTAGGGATTGTTTAACCTAATACCGGAAATTACTACAAAGCCATAACAATAACCAAAATATCTCGAGTCAGATTATTCATTAAGTCATGTTCTCCTCAAGTCTTGATTTTCATATGAATGTCATGCATGACGCCATCTTTTTGAAAGATATCTAAACTAGCAGCCGTATACAACCGCTTTCTCAGATCTGTGTTTAAAAATGGCTTCTAGTAAATGAAGTATAGACAGGCGCTACAGAACCACAACGAAGTGTACCAACTAACAGAAATCACATCATTTGAGGATTTTCAAGAACGGCCACAACTAAAACAGTTAGTGCATGTAATTCAAAGAGAAAATAATGACATAATCAAGCTGTCGACATTCCACCCTACTTCAAATAAAAGGTTAGGAAGGAAACCGTCGTCAATATTGGAAAGAGCGATAACAATAACTGGAATTGAGAAACTTATTTACCTGAAAAATTGTTTAGATAGAAAGGTTTTAGAAATTTTAACTGACCAGAGAAGGTTAATGAATGGCGAATATTTCATTATAAGGGGATGGCTCGCATCTCCATTAGTTGTTCCTTTTTTTGTCGGATTTAATCTCCTTATCTAAAAGCCAAGCAGCGTATTAAGAAGCAGAAAAATTCGTTAGAAACAAAGAAAAAAGAACTAAGTTGTTACGTGAGATCTGTCCTCCGAATAGCAGCGAATAGCGGATAATCTCCTCAAAGAGGGAAAGACTTCTAGCAATAGAAATGTGGTTCTATAGAAAGATGCTGAGGATATCCTGGACCGGACCGAACCGAACGACGAGATTTTGGAGAAAATGGAAACAAAAAAGAAACTCATACTTAACATCAGGAAGAGGCCATTTTAAATGTCTGGGACACGTAATGAGGAAAGAGGGCTTGGAAAAAGTGATACTCACAGACAGACAGAGAAAAAGAGGGACAAAGGAAAGCAGCGCGTAATATACTTGCTTAGCTTGAATAAATGGATAGTAGATAATAGTTTGAGAGAAATAGTAAAAAGACAAAACTTTTTAAGAGCTATAAGTGACAGGAAGATTGGCAGGGACATGGCCGTCTGCATCTTGAAGGGACACAGCACATAAAAGATATAAAATTAAGAAAATAACAAGACCAAAAAAAAAAAAAAATCTACACGTATATTTATATTATCTAACGTTTTATTGCATTTTATGTTGAACGTTGACACAGTGGATGCGTAACTGGTCGATGATGAGTATTTTCCCCTTACAAAGCATTGAATAAAAAAACTTTATGATACAGTTATATTATCGTTTGATTTGATTAATAACAAAGTAGATGCGAGCAAAAGCAGGAGTTTTTAGCCTTTGTTCTTCAGAATATACATCATCAATACAGAATTGCACAGAGGGAAAAAAAAGACGAGCTTTTACAAAGCGTAATAATGGGTATCGCCTCTTTAATTTAAAATCGAATAGCCGAGTTCGAATTCTAGTCGCAATCATTCATTTACGCTAAAATACCATTGGAAAAGGTATAAATCCATCTTCTTTACCTCTAGCTATGTGTTAAATAAAAGACAGACTTGGTCGTATAGCCTTGGTTGGTAACAAGTCTACCAAAAAAAAAAAAAAAAAAAAATGACGGTAACCTCTTGTGGCAATTTTTTGCATAGTCTGTCCTGATACGAAAGAGCTATAGCGGTTTACCTAGCTGGTATCACCCATGGCACTGATTAAATACGTGATTATTCGGTATGGCTTTTAATCCGGACAAAATCACAAGCAAGTTATGATCACCAGACAAATTCAAATATTTACTTATAATTTACTTTTAATAATAATTTAATGTAAGTTTCTAATTTCTGTCTGAATTTTTCGGATGAGAAGTTATCGTTATTTACACTATTAAGATATGGAGTATTCTCCTCATCTTTGTTGTTGTTATCATAACCTTTCGGTCGTTGTCCCATCCGGCCTTCAGATGTATGTCGATTCGAGTAACCTACGGGGAATTTGGAACTGAAACCTTTTACCGGCGGTAGACTGTTCTCTTTTTACTGTTCCTGTCTAGATATATCTCGTCTAGACCTTACTTTTAATACTGCTTGGTTATTGCTCGCTCTGTTTCCACTGAGCCCAAGCATACACTGCTCAGCCGGACGGCACGGGAACAAAAACATTCTAATAACAAAAGATGAGGACAATGTGAACAATGTAAATAAGTTTCTAAGAATCGATGATTTTGTAGAGATATGAATTAAGAATAATTAGTCTTTCAGATATGTGTAATGACAAAAGTACGCGGATATAGAGAGCTTTATTCAACTGAGAATACAAGGTTCGCATATAGTGTACACTAAACAGAAATAGCTCTCTCAAAGAGGAGAGTAACAAAACAAGGGGAGACCACTCTTGATTATTCAAAACAATGTGTATTATTCCATTGTTATTTTGTGACTTCAGTTAGTCCGGTTGAACGTATAACTTCCAGGCTGTTCTGAGACCGAAAAATCAGTTTTATGCTCTTTAGTTTATTTGGTGTTAAATTGTATCTGTTATTTGCGGAGGTATGAAATTCGCTTGAAAAGTGATATCAATCGTGATCATTGCTGAGTAAATATATTTTAAATCATGGACTAAAATGTTTTGGGTATTTAACTCTGTTATTTACGAGCAGACAACTACACGCGATTGACCGACGACTTCATCGGGCGGCGACAGACGGATGTATGTGGGGCGCGAGTTTAATATAGGCCAGACCTGCAGAATTTATAAAAAAAAAAAAATCTGATGGACTATATTGATTGCAGAAAATTAGCCAAGGGCCGCAATAATACATTTTAAGAGTAATTTGCAGAGTCTGAGTGCGTTAGAAATAGATATATACAAAGGCGGGCCGTGATTAAATTACTATCACACGGAGAGTTAAAAGCATTAATTAGATACAAAGACAGAGAAATATTGGTTGAAAAGTGAATTTTTCGTTGGAGATCTGTCGCTGAATTCAGATGAACGCAAAAATATCAACTATTTTGAAAACACATCGCGGGCCATACTGAGTTATGCTACATCTCCCGGGTCGTATTTTCTATTGTCCTGATCTGAATAATAAAAAGAAAATTATTAGATTTAATTTTATTAAAATCTTTGAAATCACGGATGGGAAGGAAAACCGTGGTTTCGGCATTCTTCCTCCACGCTACCGTCATTTGTTCTGTGATTGGAACTCTCTAAGGAAATATCGTTAGAAACAAAGAAAAGACTATTGAACTAATATCAGTCCTCCTATTCTTTCTTTCTTTCACTCTTTCTTTCTTTGGATTTTTCTTTCTTTCTTTCTTTGTAGGTTCATTATCGACATCTGTAAATCTGGGGACATTATTCTCTCTTTTGCAATCAGTGTTTGTCCTGTATTTCCGATCGCTTAAATATTCTCTCGTCCGATCATTCGAAACTCGTACTGAATTCTTTCTGAACACGCTTTTATACAAAACCATTATCGGTGAATATTCTCGACACTGAACATTTACATGCAACGGTCCAATGTTCTATCTATCTATCTACCTATCTATCTATCTATCTATCTATCTATCTATTATCTATCTATTGCTGTTTTTGTATCTATCTATCTATCTATCTATCTATCTATCTATCTATCTATCTATCTATCTATTGCTGTTTTTTGTCTCTATCAATCTATTGCTGTTTTTTTTGTATCTATCTATCTATCTATCTATCTATCTATCTATCTATCTATCTATCTATCGCTGTTTTTTTGTATCTATCTATCTATTGCTGTTTTTTGTCTCTATCTATCTATCTATCTATCTATCTATCTATCTATCTATCTATCTATCTATCTATCTATCTATCTATCTATTGCTGTTTTTATCTATCTATCTATCTATCTATCTATCTATGGCAATCAATAATGCAATAAAATTCGTTATATATCACCATCAATAAACTTCTAACACACAGGCATAAAATGAAATTATATAGAAAGCCTTGCCTAAACACGACCTCCTTACACTAATAGTTTAGAAAACAAATTATGCAATACGGGAAAAATGTCTACACAACAGCGTTCATGTTTCTAACCTCTTTGATATATTTAGAGCAGAACTACCAAAATAGGAAATCTGGATCAAGAGAAAACAAGAGCCGAATGTCATGTCTGTTTCATCTAATCCATAATACGCGTCGATCATCAAGAGAAACTTAATATCATGAGATTACCAGCCCGAACTTTGATGCGGTTATAAATTTCGAAATACCTATGTCGTCCTGTGTAAGAATGAAAGGCAGTCTAACACAAAGTCTAAAGTTGTTGGCAACTTTTTATTTCAAAGTTTATCTATCTATCTATCTATCTATCTATCTATCTATCTATCTATCTATCTATGACTCTACATCATCTATCTATCTATGACTCTACATCATCTATCTATCTATATATCTAAGACAGTTCTTTATCTATCTATTTATCTATATATCTATCTACCTATTGCTGTTTTTTGTATCTATCTATCTATCTATCTATCTATCTATCTATTACTGTTTTTGTCTTTATCTATCTATCTATCTATCTATCTATCTATCTATCTATCTATCTATCTATGACTCTTCATCATCTATCTATCTATATATCTAAGACAGTTCTTTATCTATTTATCTATCTATGTATCTATCTATGTATCTATTGCTGTTTTTGTATCTATCTATCTATCTACTGTTTTGTCTTTATCTATCTATCTATCTATCTATCTATCTATCTATCTATCTATCTATGACTCTTCATCATCTATCTATCTATATATCTAAGACAGTTCTTTATCTATTTATCTATCTATGTATCTATCTATGTATCTATTGCTGTTTTTTTGTATCTATCTATCTATCTATCTATCTATCTATTACTGTTTTTGTCTTTATCTATCTATCTATCTATCTATCTATCTATCTATCTATCTATCTATCTATGACTCTTCATCATCTATCTATCTATATATCTAAGACAGTTCTTTATCTATTTATCTATCTAGTATCTATCTATGTATCTATTGCTGTTTTTTTGTATCTATCTATCTATCTATCTATCTATCTATCTATCTATTACTGTTTTTGTCTTTATCTATCTATCTATCTAAGACAGTTCTTTATCTATTTATCTATCTATGTATCTATCTATGTAACTATCTATTGCTGTTTTTTTGTATCTATCTATCTATCTATCTATCTATCTATCTATCTATCTATCTATCTATCTATCCTTCCGTGTGTGTGCGTTAATATTTCTTATTCAGCTTTTTTTTTATCTATTTAGACATTTGGTGTACTTCACAACACAATCTTCATGTAATATTTATTCTCTATTCCGATAAAGGAGTAAAGGAAATCGAGAATAAATGAATAAGCATCAATTTTAATAAGTCAGAATATATTGTTGTCAGCGAAAGAACATCTTAAGATGCAAACTACCCGTTGCAGAGGATAATGTCAGGCAAGTACGGAATTTTAGATTTCTAGTAAGGGTTTTAACAGGGGACGGCAAACGTGACACAAAATTCGGAAACGTATTGGAATAGCGAAAAATACCCTCTAAAAGCTAAGCAAAGTATAAAGAAACAGGAAAGTTTAGTTCGAAATAAAGGAAAGTCTGCTGAACTGTTATGTAATATCAGTCATAGTATATGTCAGGGAATGCAGGAGTATCTCCTCACAGATGAAGAAGAGACTTGAGGTCAATAGAAATGTGGTTTTACAGAAAGATGATGAGTCCAAAATGATCATCTATCTATCTATCTATCTATCTATCTATCTATCTATCTATCTATGAGTGTTCATTATCTATCTATCTATCTATCTATCTATCTATCTATCTATCTATGTAAAACTCTTTATCTATCTATCTATCTATCTATCTATCTATCTATCTATCTATCTATCTATCTATCTAAGACTGTTCAATATCTAAAACTGTTCATTATCTATCTATCTATCTATCTATCTATCTAAGACTGTTCAATATCTAAAACTGTTCATTATCTATCTATCTATCTATCTATCTATCTAAATAATGGAAAGAGTACTGCACTGTTACGTAATATAACTCTTGCTATATGTCAGTGAATGCAGGTGAGTCTCCTCGCAGATTAAGAAGAGACAAAACTGTGTTTACTCTAGTGTCGAGATGCATATGAGAGGAAGCCTTGTTTCTATTCAGCAAGTAATGGAGAAATCATTTGCTACGATTTAATTCTCGCAATAAGTCACTAGAATTGTGCATTCAGGGAGAATCGAACTCACCCTCCAGACGTGACCGTATGCGTTTGTTAAAAATTGTTCTACAGTGAGATGCGGAAACTGTGTTATTCCAGATTAAAATCCTGTTGTTATATACAATATAACTGTGATTGATAAAACTTATTCTTTGTGATTAAATCCAAGCTATTTAGTTATTTGAAACAATTACTGAAAGGATATATTTTAAGCCAAGAAGAGCAGGGAAAAACAAGCATGACATATTTAGTGAGCTTGAGGAAAAGGAAGGCTGGAAGAGAGTTTGCAAGAAATAACACTAAGTCAAAAACATGAAATTAAGGATGGACATGATCACTTACATCCTGAGGGGAGAGGGCACACAAAGAAAAGGTTGCTTCTGAGTTTGGTACGCTATATCAGACTAATTATTAATCACTCGTTGCAGTTAAATTTAAAACACTAACATACTTTCACAAAGAACTGTTGGAGCTTCTAGGTAACCATGGAAAAAGTTATTAGAATGATCCAGAAGATATATTGGCATCACACCGCCTGCATACGGATAGAAAATTAATTCAGTAAATAGAAATGGGTGTAAGACAAGGATGTGCCTTTTCGCCGGACTTATAGAGTGCAGTAATTCTGAGGCGTAGAAGTTCTACTAGGCCATAATTATTGGCGAGTACATTCTTAACAAAATAAGTTATGCAGATGACACAGTGTTGAGAGTGGAAACAGAAAAGAAATTGCAAGAAAACCTTTCAGAAGGTAGTAAAAGAAAGCCAGAAGAAAGGACTAAACATCAAAAAACGGAATGAATGTATGTTAACAAAAATAAATAAATAAATAAATAAATAAATAAAAATAACCCCAACATGCAAATTACAAATTGAAGATATCAAAATCAAACAAGTACAGCAATTTAATATCTGCGGAGGGCGGACAATGTGACACTGAAATCCGAAGGAGCATGCGGATAGCGAATGATGCCTCGTAAAAACTCAGCAAAGTATTAAGATACAGAAAAAAAATCGTTACAAAGAAAAAAATTGTTGAACTGTTATGTAAATGCTGGACAATCTCATCACAGATGAAGAAGTGACTGGAAGCATCATAAATGTGATTCTACAGAAAGATGCTGAGAATGACATGTATTGGACATGAGAAACGACGAAGTTTTAGTTAAAATGGAAATAAAAAGACAGTTATACTTAGAATCAGAAAGAGACAATTGACATTTCTAGAGCATATAATGAAGAAAGAGGGCTTGGAAAATTTAACACTCACAGGACATATTACGGACAAGATGGACAGATAAACCGCACATAGCTAACGAGTTTGCGTAAACAGTTGTCGGTACAAGGATTAGAAGATATATTCTTCATTTTTTCATCGGTGATAAGGTTATGCAGCATTCACTGTCATATAAGAGGACCGATATTACATAACAGTTCAATACTCTAGTAGGAGAGATAGCAAAAAGACATACTTTGCAAAGAATTACAACGGAGAGGAAATTGTGGAGAGCCATGATCACCAATGTCCTGAAGGTATATGCTACATAGAAGAAGAAGAATTATACTGAGCCGGATAGACAGATTTTGTTTTGTTCCTAAACATGCATCGAATTATTCCATTTCGCTGAATCTGTGAATGTGTTCACCAAAATGCCTCCATTTATTGTTGATTATTTCCGAGGCTCGCGGTACATGTTGAGATATGAAAGTACAGATCAAGATTAGAGCTTCAGATTATAGTCAAGTTCAGATTGATGATCAAAGAAGACAAATGCTTGCGATGCTTTCAAGAGTCTTATCACTATTCCTTTTCCTCTTAGGATGTAAAGAGCGAAATTAATTCTTATAAATCGAGATGAATGTCTCACTAATAACTTGCTTCACATACAAAATCACACACACTTGCTTCACATACACAATCACACACACATACATATATGTGTGTGTGTCTGTGTGCGTATGTGTGTGCGTCTGTGAGATATAATACAACGTGCGGTGGGTAAATTGACGCCGTTTCATATTTTTAATTTTGCGCATGCGCGTCGTTTGTTTTGATTTTGTTGACGGCACAGTATAGTAAAGTTAGTTGGGCACCGTCTATAAAAAAAAGAGTACCATGACGCACAAATTTCCCCCAGAATACACACACACACACACACACACACACACACACATATATATATATGACGATATATGGGTATTTATGTGCGGGTATGTTTATGCATGTGTATGTAGGTGTTTATATGTATGTATACGTGTTCATGTGTATATATATATATATATATATATATGTATATATTGTGCATGTATGTGTGTGTATGTGTATGCATTGTGTGTATGTGTTTACTTGTGTGTTTGTATGGCTGTGTATATTTGTATATGATTTTTACATGTATATACCATATATATATATATATATATATATATATATATATATATATATATAATGTAATAATTATGAAGGTGAATTAGATATAATGTATTTAAGGTTTTTATATATTACATTATTTTTTTTCACACTTTGTTATATATATGATGATGAGTGTTATTATATTGACGTAAATGATGGGGATATAGCATTTGTTTAATTTCAATGTATTTCACTAGCTGTAACTTGTACTTTTTTCACCTATAGCTACTCATTGTGCTGACACCTTTCTTCTCCTTTTTCTTTACCCCAATCCTCTTTTCAAGAATGCAAATCCCCGGGAAAATGTTCTAGGTGAAGTAATATAGATATTTACTTCCTTTTATCTTGTGATTTAATTTTAAAATAATTTTTAATAAATTGTCTGGATAAATTTAAACCATTTTGTAATTTCCGTCTGATGAGGCAGATATTAAAAATTTATCAGTTCTAAACCTAACATTATTCGTTGATGTGTTAAGTTTTTCCTTGTTGATATATATATAAGTGCAAAGATGTATGACAAAGTGTAAAAAAAATTTCGTGTGACGCGTTTCGTTCTTTAGGACGTCATCGGAGTTGTGGCAAATATGAAGTTGAATTTAGATACATTCTTTTCAATTTTAGTTGTGATAGAGTTACTGGGTAGAAGAATATATTTTTTGATTCGTCACTTAGCATCCCAATTGATGCAAAATCATATCCTCATACTTGCCTAGATAAAATCCGTCAGAGCACGAAAGGCGTCGGCTAAGAAAAAAATTCCTTTTGTCTTTGTTCATATTGTTCATTTACAGATATATCATAGTTATATCTGAAATTTCCTGCACTCACACGCATATATATATATATATATATATATATATATATATATATATATATATATATATATATCAAACTGAAATTTTGTGTTTTTTATATACAAATATATATTTATTATATATTTTATATATATATATATATATATATATATATATATATATATGTGTGTGTGTGTGTGTGTGGATACAAGGTCTATTAACAACGATTTCAGGCATTTTGACTGAATCGAGAATCTGTTGTGTGGCACTGACGTAATTTCTCTTCCAATGACAAGGAATACTTTTTTTTATTATTTTTGAAATCACTCATCTATGGAGTTATTACTTCTCTGCTCTCTTATATGGCAGTGAATGCCAGTCAATCTCCTGAAAGATGAAAAAGGGAATTGAAGCAACAGAAATATGGTTCTACAGAAGGATGCTGAGGATAAAATGTACCGCACATGTGAGCAACAATGAAGTTTTTGAGAAAATGGAAACAAAAAGGAAACATATACATAACATCAGGAAGAGACAGCTGATATCTCTTGGCAACATAATGAGGATGGAGGGCTTGGAAAATCTTGTACCCAGGACAGATACTGGGAAATGGTGTCGGCAGAAAGCATCGCAAACACACTTGATATACTTCAATAAATGGTTGGTAAAACAGTGTTCTGAAGAAATAACAAGAAGACAAAACTTACAAGGGGCAAGAAGATGTGGAGGGCTATGATCGTCTACGTACTGAAGAGACACGGCACATAAAAAAAAACAAGAATTAGATTCTAATAATAAGGGTTGTTTACAATGTGACCGTAGGTTTTCATCTTTGAGCGAACGAGATTATAATGTTTCGCTTTTAAGTTTTTAACCCCATTCAGGTGCGTTTATACCAATCCTGTTAATATATTCCTTTCCCTGTGATTTTTCTTTCGAAACTAAAATCACCGTTAAAATGTCGGGGACGTGATTAAGGAGAACGGGATTAGACAGCTGATGGCAATCACAAAAAAAAAAACTGCTTTGCAGACTCTTCTGAGAAGTTGAAAGGATAATTTCCTAAACAGAGTATTTGAGAAGTGACGAAGTAGGCTATTTTTAGGTTAATAAATGATTGGTCACCTCCCGCACGCATCCCATATTAGTTAAATTCTATTTAAAATAAAAGTCGTATGGTTTCGATCTATCTTTGCTGAGATAAGCGCAACAGTTTTTATAACTACTGAGTTAAGCTTTGTAAATACCTGATTAAAAAAAAACAAACCTTGATTTTTTTTGCTTTGACTCTGTATCAAAACAGGTATGAAATATATTGATCTTATAAGAAGGCCATAATCATTTAAGACGCAAAAACCTAAGCAATGTGATCGATTACTACGGATAAGATGGAGAATTTTGTATTACGTTTTTTTATTCCATTAGCATTTTTTAACGAATTTCTCAATATAGGCTTGCACAGATCTATATATAAATGTGTGCGTAGACGTTTTAAAATGATTTTCGATAGAGCTAAATCTGGAAAAGGTT